CATGTAGAAATGATCATCCTTGTTCTATTTATTCATTGTATCTTAATTCATAAACATCGGCGAGCAGCGGGTCCACCCAAGACAGGTCATCAAAATTAATCATTTCAATCTGATTTCAGTTTTGTTTTTTGCGTTGGACGGAGAAAGTCCAGCTTTTACAGACTGAAGCAGCTCTGATCTGATGGTTTAACTTCTGGATATTATTTGCTGTATTTCATGTTTGGGTTTGATGCCGGAGTGTTTCCTCTGACGCTGACGGCTCAGCCGGGCGATTCCTCCACAGTTTGTTTACAGTTCAGTTTGATTTTAAAGAATTTGCCTTTAATCTCCATACAGTAACCCCCAGCAGGAGGAAACTCCCCTGACACTTCACGCTGCACCAGCCTCCTCCAGATCTCTCACAGCCACTCATCTGTTTCCCACCCTACTTTCATCTGAGTTGTGAGGAAAATCTTGCATGAAATATTTATTTTTCTCTGTATTTCTTCCTTCAAATCTGGAATTTTCCTTCCAGTCACACCTGCTGATCATGCCGTATTTTCAGGCGTGGCTTCAGAGGGTTGAGGTTCTGAAACGTTCAGCAGGTTAGAGATGCATGGCTGCACATTAAAGGCTGGAGAGGAAGACAGATCCAGTCCCGCATGGCAGCAGCACTGACATGCGGATATTTCTCCCATCTAGCCTCAGAGTTTATCGTCTGTTTCTGCTCAGACTGAAGAGGAAACCTGAAGAAACGTTCATGAGAGATTATTCAGCCAGTTAACAATGAGAAAAGATTTATTAGTTTTCATGTTTGATCTCATTAAAACAAACTTCAAAGCATTTTTATCTGAATTCAAATAATAGACAAAACACATGATTGTAAAGTGGAAAAAAAAGCTGCATAATGTTCAAACGTTTTCTTAAATAGTCTAGTAAACAGTCTGCATATTTTGTGTTTTCAGCCTAGTTTAGATTAATTTCACTGAATAAAATCCAATGCAGCCACTTCCCTTGTGATGCCGTTTAACTGTGAAATGAAACCACCGGCATGAAGCCGAACCAAACCGAACACGTCCACAGCTGCAAATGAACAGCCAGTTATTAAACGGCCCAGTCAAAGTACACACCTTGGAGAGAATGAGGATTTCTAAAGGCATTCTGTCCAATCTTACTGAGTTGTCAGGAGACGTTCAAACTGATAAAGGGAAATCCCAAAGAACCTGATTCATGTAAAGTTGATTCTTAGTATTTAAAAGAAAGTTTATGAAGCAGGAAAAATGAATAACTGAAGCATCTGGACTAGATAATGTTCAAAACAAATATTTACATAGACTCTTCAGAAATACTATTTTTATTCACTAAATGCCACAATTACTCTAATTACTTTCCTCAAATTCAGAAGTTTACATACACAGATGGTCCAAAATAAAACTTTTAATCCAGAAGAAAAGCAAAGAAGCTGCTGAAGCTGGACAGACGGACATGAGCTGCAAAGAACCTCAGAGAGGAAGAAATCACAACGTCTGGAGAAAACTGAACATGCAGTTTGAGCCGAGCCATTCAGTTTAAAACAGCAAATTTATGAAGATTTACAAATTAAAAAATATTATTTAAAACATTATTTCACATTATTCTGGCAACTAGGAACTACGACATGTCAGGAAACCAAACTGACCTAAACTGGAAGAGTTTTCACCCGTTTCCACCAACATCACCTGATCCTGAAACAAGATGAGAGCTTCTGATGTGTGTTGATGTTTCTACACAACTTTTAAAAATGCCAGAATAAACACAAACACACAAACCAACAGTCCAGGTGAGGCTCTCTGCAGTCATGACCAGGCTCAGTTTCTTGTCCCAATTTCAGAAATACTTTACAGACCAAACGCCTGGAGGAAAAAACTACGGAGACACATCATGGAATCCATAAATAATACAGCAGCACACATAAATTAAACATGGGGTTTGTGATAGTCGCTCACAGCTGGAGGACCGAGATGATTTATCCCTGCTTCCCCTTCTAAGATTTAATTAGAAACTTCAAATTTCCTGTGAGAAGAAACGGCAACAGAAACTACAAACAACCAACAAAAAATCAAACAAACATAACAGAGAGCCACAGGGAGCGGACCCTCCTGCTTCCCATAATGCACCCTGTTATTACAGGCTGCTGTAATTGCTGGTTGTCTGAGAGGACAAAGCTTCCAACAGGAACATCTAATAAACGCTGTGGCCTCTTTTATTCAGCGCTGCCTTGGTGAAAGGTCAGAACTCCGTTTCCTTCAAGGCCTCAGACGCCTTCAAGTGCATCGGTTCGCATTTAACAACAAACGGTGGTGGAGACACGGTTAGTGGCAACATGGCGGATCAGAGGAGGACGGGAAGAACGTCTGAACTCGGCACCAAAACGGGAACGTGAATTAAAGCTGCAGCAGGTAATTTATAGAAATATGTTCCTACATGTTTGTTCAAACTGTCACAGAATCATATGAGATGGATAATCTGCGACAGAAACAAATCGCCTCTGCCTCACGTCCGAGGTCCTACTGCCACCTGCAGAAATACACTGCATCCAGTAAAAAACAACCAGTCAGAGGCAGGGGGACGGGCTTAGTGCTGCCAATTACTTAAATGTGCTGCGCTACAGCTCCTCCCCCACAGCAGAGCCAGCCGAGAAGGCTAAGGCTAGTTAGCTTGACCACTGATGACGACAGGAAAACCGTTTTCCTGTTTCTTTGCCGTTAGCGCGGCTGCAGCAAACCGGCAACTTAACCAGCGTTAAGCGCTGAGCAGGCGGAGGTGAGAGCATCGTTGTTCAGTTTAATCCAGATTAAACTGAGAAATTATTGTTTACATTAATAAACATTGAAACTGATCATGGAATATTAACCTGTCTGGAGCTCATGGTTCGGTTTTTATTCTGTTGTGTTTGATTAGAAATGCTCTTCATTGTCAGGAAAGTCTGTCTGTCAGCAGCAGCTCAGCGATGCAGGATAAACTATAGTTTCACGATAAAGAAATGCTGCTGTTTGTTTTTGCTCTGATTATCTCTGCCTGATAATATTCTTTGTTGTTGTTTTATTTTATATTTTTATGTGTAGGATTTAAACCAATCTAATACAAACAAGCACAGGACATTTTGCTTGTATGGTCATATTGTCCAATGCAAAGTTTTGATTGATTTTGGATCAAATTCAATTGACCTGTTTGTTGTCCTTCTCCTAATGTTCCCCTTAGAGAAGATATTTATTCATCCTTATTTCCCAAAGCATCTCTCTGTTGGGTTTCCAACCATAAAGCTAATTCTTTCATAGCGAGTTCACATTGTGGAGTCAATGCTCAGCATTTCCACTTATTTGTAAAGTAAACGATAAACTGAGGAGCAACTCAGACTGAAGACGGGTATTTAACTCCCGACCCGTTACTGTGATGATGGACTCACTGGCTCAGATCTGCATCTTGACTTTTAGCTTAACCTCTGCCTGCTGAAGTTAAACCAGTTTATCCTAATTAGCACACAAAGCTAACGTCGCTCTGGTTCTTCACCACAACGGTAGAAATGTTGAAACCGACATGTCAGATCTCTCATCATGTTTTCTTTGTTGCTAAATACCTGATAAAGGCTTTCTGGTGGGCAGAGCAGCATGTCGATGTATGGGCTGGAGGTTTGAACAGATGATGATGATGATGATGATGATGATGATGCTCCCAGTCACTTTCAGCCACTCACCAAATCCTGCTTCTTCTTGATCATTCTTGACATGCTGGTGAATATTCTCTAATCAAGGCCCAAACATCTCATTACTGCTGGTGTTTCTCTGATGGGCTGTCAGCAGCTTCACCACCACAAAGTCAGGAAGGAATCACAGTTTTACCACGATGAGATGAGAAACGATTCGTCTGAGCTGGAAAATCTGACAAAACCTCTAAGATCAGTCAGGCAAACTTTCTGTCTTTGACTACATAATGATAAATTAATGAGTTTTTTATATCTAAAGGTTTCAGATTGTGGAGTCAAATGACAGTTTCCACTGTCTCCACCCAACTGCTGTGCGCCTTACAGAGAATCAAGCGCCCCATCCAGTCGCTGTCAGACCAGATCTCTAGGTTAACCTGCTCACATCGTGATCTCTGCTCAGACAAACTGATTTCTTCCACAAAGACTCATTATTCAGTTTACATGATTCAATTCAGGAAAAAAAAACAATTTTCTGATTGTTTAATACAATTTTTCTCACGTGTTTGAATACAGAGTTAACCTATTTCCTTCACTGTTAAGTAAATTATTTAAGAAACTAGTTAAATATTTCAAGCTGAAATGAGTTTATTGTTATTTGTGATGTTTAATGTTCGTCTCATCAACCTTCTCAGGTTGCACTGCTGGTGAGATTCACTTCAAAAGAAAAGATGAAACAACGTGAAGCTGAAGTGGCTTTGGAGTAAAAAACCTGACGGATCATTAAGCTAATTATAACAGACTGGAGTTTGACCGTCCTCCATTTTGGTGAAGGTGTGAAACTTCTGAGAGAGACTCTCCATCCATCGTCTACAGCCACCGATCCTCTTCAGTCGATCTGGTTCGGTTTGTGGGAGGAAGCCAGATACCCAGAGAGAAGCCATGACAGGACGGTCTGCAGAAAGACCGCAGGCTGGGATCCGAACTCAGGACCTTCCAGTCTGTAAGGCAACAATGCAACCCAACAAAAACAAATATTTCATGTAATTATACAAACAGAAAAGCAGCAGCATCAACCCCACAATGTGCTTCAGGAATTTTCAGTTGTCTAAGGATGAAGAGGTAGAATCCACCTTCCAGTCGAATCCCATTCATCATAAATCCTAATGAGGTCTGAACCGAGTCAGGCTGTTTGTTTATCAGCTGTTTGCAGGCCTCCTTCTCCGGCTCGGTTTTCTGTGTGTATGAAACGGCGGCCGTGCTTCCCACTGCGCCTCGCTGCTCTGTCACTACCTTCCTCATTCACATAGATTATTTTTCACTTTCATACCTCAGAGTGAGCAGCCAGATCTAATAATACCATGGCCAATTGATGCCGGGGAAATGTACCACTTCATTGGGGAGAGGAAAAAACACACAAGAGTTAAAAATACAAACCATGTTCTCCATCAGCAAATGTCAGCAGTGGAACCTTCATGCATGAAACAGCATTTGCTGCTTTAAAAGCCTGACAGTTTTCTGTCATATGGGAAGATGGCAGATGAGAACGTTCATGAGAAAACATGAAAACATGCATGATGACTGGCAACCGTCTGCAGAAATGAACAGAGGAATATGAGGAGTGCTCTGTTAGAGTAAAGGCCACCATTTCATCTGTCCGCTTTTTAATTAGAATTAAATGTTTGCTTGACATTAAACGATAAGGGCTGATTAGGAACGTTAGAGTACAAGTAATGTTTGGCCCAAACATAATTAAGTTAATAGGATGCAGCAGGCTTTGACTTATGCAGCGCGCTAAGTGAATTAATCCCATTTACCTGGGGAGTGATGGTGGGAGAATGTTCTCCGTCCTGAACAAAGACATTCAGAACCGGGCCTAATGCCATTAGGACCAGAACAGGGACAGAACAATGCAGAAAACCTGTTAACAGAAACCAGCTCAACATTTTCCTCATTTTGTTCAAACAGGATTATTTTCTCACCAAGTCAGTCAGGACAGTTAAATATTAGATTCATTGGCAGATGTTTGTGACCCAAATTAATCAGAAACTATTTAAACAACTAAATTTGACACAAAATGCCACTTTGAATCATTAATATTTATAAACAAGCTGCTTTGATCTACAAACCATAAAGTAATGTCAGCTGAACCGTAACCCAGGAATCATCCAGGTACAGTCACATGTTTCTAGGTGACTTTCTAAATGTCGGTTTTAGGGGAAATTATGAAGACCAATAATTTTTATAGTCTCCTTTTGATCTGTTTTTAGGAAGTTTTTTATTCAACATCCTCAGAGATTCAGAGTTTGAAGAAGTTGAGCTGTCAGTTAATAAAATCAGTATTTTTATTCAATCACTGATAAAGTTACAGATTAGCCTCAGAGTCAGAGTTCAATCAAAGTCAGCAGAGAATCACATGAACTACAGATCCAGAAAACCTCCTGGTCGTTTCTTTCATTTAGATTATATAATATTCATTCTGCTTACAGTTGAACTGACTAGAAAAAAACTCAACACCCATGATGCAACTGGCTCCAGCTTTACACAATAATACCTTTGCTGCTTTGGACGTTTATCTTAATCTCTGCTTAGATCTTCTGATCGATGTCAGAGTTTAGAAAGGAGACGTCAGTAGAAACGGCAGCTGGACGATCAGCAGGTTCACCCCGACGTCGTAAAGCATCAGAATAACATCAGATCGTAACTGTAATGAAACGCTTTCTGATTAAGATGCAAAACAAAACGCCAACCGTGGCTGGCTCCTCCCACGAGCCGCGGGACGTTCAGATTAAATGTTGAGACGGAAGAAATGACATTATCTGTCTGCAGACTCTTAACAGCATCACCTCTGCTGCTTTTCTTTATCTTTCTGCCCTTAAAATGAGATGCATCCTTCTCCACAGCCATGCCACTTTCATTTCAGTCTGAGCATCCACACACACACACACACACACACACACACACACACACACACACACACACCAGTGCATGTCACAAATGTCTGTGCCCCCGCACGGACACAAAATCATAAAGTGATGTATGCAATCTAAAATCTGACAAAAGCTTTGGCACCGGCAGGCAAAGTTTGACTTGTGAATAAAAGCTCCTGTCAGGAGGATCTTTTGTTGCTTGAATTCTGGAACCGACTTCAGAAATGAAGGATTTACTCTCAGGATGTCAGGCATGAAACGTAAACGTATCAGAGGAGGGTTCAGCTGTTCTGGGTTCTGCTTCCATCAGGACTGGTTTTCATCAACGCCATGCTCTCTTTCCAAAATAAAAGCTAATATTTAACTGGATGGGCCTTTGCTTTGGTTATGGCACACATTACTTCTGTCCATTTCTGTAAAGAAATCATTTCTCTCATTAGATCTTGCAGAGACGATTTGGACGGCTTTGGAAATTCTTCTCCACATGTGAAACATTCCCAGTATGGATCGGTTTGGACTTGGCCAGACCAGGTGTGAAAACTCTTTAACGCTCCTGCACAGTTTGAGCCATAAGAATCGTAGCATGATGCTCCTCCTGACCACCAGCATGGTGGATGGATCCCTTCATGCAACACTTTTCTCCTCCTGATGGACTCATCCCCGTTGCCACCGCTCCAGACTCCAACCTCTTTGCTTCCATCCAATCAGACCCTTTGCTCAGATCAACTCTCTGATCTGTGGATCTCTCCAGACAACAAGCACAGTCCGAGGCCTTGGTCAGATTTCCCTTCTTCTCCAGAGGGAATCATGAGGGATGTGCCAAAAAATTGATTCAAGGAAGAATCATAATTGTCTTTTACTACAATTCAAAATCAGTTTAAAACGTCATAAAATCCATCTAAGCTTTGCCGTTCCCTCCGGTACAGAGCTCTGTGATTGGTCAGAAGGTTGTGGGTGTGTTTTATACAGAAATGTTGATATTTGGTTTCAACTGGTCCAATTCCACTGCCCTGTTTCAGTATCTGCAGACGACACAGATGTGGAGCGATTGCATGAATTCCTGATCATCATGGAGGTGATTAGCTGGTTAGCATCGTTAGCTCTGGTCTCATGTTCCCTGTGCTTCACAAAGGCGGCAAATTAAATGTCACCTGTTCTCTTTTCTCTGCAGCTCTAATGAATTTAAATAATACATGAAGTATTTTCATTGGATCACTACAATGAATTACATTTTTGTGGTATTCTCATTTATTGTAATATCATATGATGCTCAGTAAAGTCATATGTCCAACATTGTTCTGTGGAGTAATAATAAATTCAAGAAATCAGACATTATTACTACAAAACTCACAGTAAGTCAACATAACATCCACTCAAACAAATTGCATTACTCATTTATGAAGACCAGGCTTTAGGATATTCAGTTGCAACCACCTTTGCCTCAGTCATGTCTTATTAGTGTCAAATTGTGAATGTATCTGTAGTGGCTTCCTTCCTTAAACCAACTTATCCCCTGATATTTCAGGAAGCTCTAAGAGGCAGAATTAATGAGGGATCAGATCTGACTTGGATTCAAGGGGTCAAGCCAACTAATGAAAGAACTGGTGACCTCCTGCTGTACTTGGATGGAAGTTATAAAGAATTAAGAAAAGGATGATTTCAGAAACTTTCAGGATAAAAACATGCTTTTCTTTCACCTCAAACATGATTTAAATACACAATAAAAACTGAAATGTGTCCCTGAAACTCTCTCCTTGAATTGATTGTTATATGAAACTATGCAGCGATGTACAGACACCCTGCGAACGACGTTCAAGCGGGAAACACACAGAAATCCATGACTGTGAATTATTTATGAAGCTTTCTTTAGAAGCTCCCAGCAGTTCATGGAATCACTGCAAACCTAGCAGCACCTGTCTGTGTGACCGTGTGTCCAGAACCATTTGTTTATGATGCAGCCGCATTTCCTGCAGTTTTAAAACACTGTTTTCCTGGATGCACTGCAACTTTAAGTAAAGGGTCAAAGGTCACAGAGCGGTCAGCGGGGGAGAATCTGACTCTGCAGTGAGCTGGAGCTCATAGAGCCAAAGACACGGCATGAGGTCAGTGAGTCCAGGGTCACCGAGGTGGAGGTCAGAGGTCAAACTAAGTTCCTCAAGTCATTTCTAACACAAAACAGACTGACATGATCATGAAGCTGCTGATTTCAGCTCCATGCTCAGGAACATATTTAGCATTTCATCTGACGAAGTCTCAAATATAACTGACCTCTATGTGAAGACATGGCCCCGCCCCTCAGGAATGTAGAAAATCTGTGCAAAATGGGCGGAGCCAAAAAATGCTGAGAGGCTGAGAGTGGGGCTGAGAGTGGGGCTGGGGTCCGGACGAAGACAGCACTGCTGCTGACTTATGGTCCGACATGGCGAATCCTTCCATTCACCGACTCAACCACGTCTCCATCCTCATCCCCGGTCACGACCTCTGGGAGGGGATGAGAGTCCCTGCTTCTCCACACCAAGAGGAGTCAGGGGTCCGGACAGCCGGTTATCAGGTCGGGACGCCTCCATGGAGAGGAGCAGAGACCCAGAGGAAGACCCGGGACTCGCTGGAGGAACTGTGGTTCTGATCTGGGAACGTCTGGGGATTCCCCCGGAGAAAAGGACGTCTCTCTGCTCAGCCTGCTGCCTCAGATAAAGGAGGCATGGACTGAAATGTTAGCAAGGAAGCCCCAAGCTGAAATACAAAGTAGATGTAAGGAACATAGAGTCATGTCACGGTGACCGAACACAGAACCGGGAGACGGCCGTTTGATGTCTGCAAAGCTTCCTTTCTTGATCTAAAAAAAATCCATAAAATTGCAGAGAAAGGTGCATTTAAAGGCTCAGATGTAGAGGCTGTACAACGAAGCAGCGCTGACACGCAAAGTGCAGCTGAGCTTCACCTCAACGCAAACAATGTTGGAAGGTGGGATCCATGGAGAGCCAACTGAGCAAACACAAAGTCCACCGAGCGCCAGGCTTCCCAGCATGCACTGCTGTTCAGAAGAAACCTGACATTTCACCACAACTGCCATGATAATGCTTCAGCACATGCTGCATTTTCTCTGGAGTTAAATTAACAAGAAAACTGATGGGAAATCAGAACATATGAGCAAAGACAATTACATCTGAGGAGCTTTGAGGTGTAAATATCGCGAGTGGAAAAGTTCAACTCCTGACAAAGTTTGTCAGAAAGCTGGCTGTTTAATCAGAAAATCACAAAAATATATCCATTTGAATGAGCAGGGCTCTTTGGATGACAGTAGGATCAAAAGCAGGTGTTTGATTTGAGGTTTGATTTGCAGTTAGCATCACCTGAACCTTTTGATTTAACACAAAACCACATCAGGAAACCATGACGACCACAGAGACACTCAGGTGGGCTCACCGTTTCAGTGGAGGACAATCAGAACCGCGAACTTTACAGAAAACCTCAGTTACATTTTAAGAAACAAACCAACAAAGAAAGAATTCTTTGTTAGAAATAATTCAATAATTCAAGAAATAACTCAAAGTTTTCCCAAAAACAGCTTGAATCTCCCGTTGAGCCCAAACAAAGAACCGGTAGATAACCTCACGACGAGCCGAGTTCAAGTCACGTTTAGCGTTCTCACAACGAGAGCTCCACTCCAGATCAGACAAAATGGGCAAAGAGGCCATCAGTCTGGTGAACTTTATAAATCTGACCTTTAGAGAGGAGAATGTCAGGATGGATGCAGTTCATCACAA